TCGGCCAATCACAACGCTCTGGATAGCTGGCCAATCACAGCACACCTCGCTTTTTTAGAACGATGAGCTTTGTAAAAATCGACGCGTTTCAGAAAGGCGGGGCATAGAGGAGAAACAATAATGTACAGTATGTGGAAAATAATGTGTTTTTTTAACCTTAAACAGCATAAACACATTTCATTACACCAAATACACAAAATAATGTTCTTTTTAGCAGCATCATATGACCCCTTTAAGTTATAGCTGTATTGTTGGCAACATGCTTGTTCCAGAGCAATCCGGTCGTTATTCGTAACATGCTTGTTCTTAAAGCTGTAGTTGAAACTGAAACATGTTTTTCTTAAGTCTATCTGGTGTTATTGAGAACATGTTGCTTAAGCTTTTAAGGTATTGACAACATACTCATTAGGTCATCCGTTAAAGGCAACATGATTGTTGCTACAGGTTATGCGGGTTTTGGCAACATACTTGTTTTGGTCATTTGGTTAAGGGCAACATGCTTGTTGCTTAAGGCTTTGAGATTTTGCTATCAGTTTGTGTTGGGGGATATCAGCATATGGTTTTGTTTTGGGGGGTTATCGCTGCTCTCCCTGCTCTCATCCATGCTAGGCTGCATGGATGCACAGGGATTTCTTGCCCAGAAGAGAACCATACCACCAATCCAACCTGTATGCTAATTGTCAATCATCTTTGACGATAGTGGTCCTGACAGAAAAACTGTTTTTAAACATTTCATAGTAAGCAGGTGAATTAGTAATAGATGAGGGTATCATGTTTGGGTATAAAAGGAGCGTTTCAGTCTTTGCAAGCAAAGTTGGATCATGGCTCATCACTTTGTGACAAATTTTTTATTTGTGCTCAAATTTCATGAGAGAAGTGTCAAAATTTGCAAATAATTTCTATATTTCACCAACTACCATAAATAATATTATGAAAATAATCAGGGAATCCAGAGAAATTTCAGTACATGTAGGGCAAGGCAGGGAACCTCAGGTGAATGTGCATGACATTTGAGTCCTCAGACTTTCTGGGAAAATGGACATCAAGTTCTCAATCCCAAAAGACCAAAGGGACCATCCAGATTTTCATCAGCGACAGATGCAAAAGCAAATGTCTGTCATGGTATGGGGTGCAGCAGAGCAAACAGTATGGGTGACTGGTATATGTGCGAAGGTATACTATTGACATGGAGGCATATATTATAATTCTTTATTGGAGACATATACCTGCCATCAAGGTGACGTCTTTCATGAGACTTTCTATAGCAGTCATTTAGGGTTAGAAACTTTTATTTGTATACTTATTCCCTTTAAATACCCCTGAAGTAACCTGCAAAAGTGTCATGCACCAGTGGTGTTTTTTGGTTTGCTGAGTGGGGTTCAAACCTACAGTACAGCCCTGACCACTAAGCCACACCACCCACACTACTAATATCTAAACCACAGTGTGCTGAATGTATGGGAAAACGGGGAAGAATTTGAGTTTCCTGGGAACGGTGGATCAAACAGGATGTTAGTGTTCTTTAAGGACATTCCACAAATGGCAGGGGAACTTTTGTCTACATATACTCAACATTACTTAAAATAGACCACATATGAGCAACATGTGTGAGTCTATTCTGTTAATGCATAAATACATTCCTGAAAGTGCAATACAGGGGTTTATGACTGAACAAGGGAAATAATGAGTCAGACAATTGCAAGGAAATTCAGTGACATTCAAAGATGGATGATTAGGTAGGAAATAAGTGCGAAAAATGTAACCCGGATAAATTTGTGATTGGAAAAATTATGTGTACGGAAATAGCCTTGAAAATATCAACTGCATTCCTTCTGTGCAGCTGAAAATGGCACATTGCCCTTGCTCATTAATACTGTGATGGATTTCTATAAGTTAAATATAATTGAAGCTTTAAATTGCTTTAGTCGACTCCAGGGGCAAAAATGACTTATCTTTTATACTCAGCAGCAGCCCTCCCCTCGCTCTCTTTCACCATGTACATTAAATCAATGCCTGTGTTTCCAGTTCATGTTTGATTCATGACTGATGTAAATGGTCATATGAATATGTAATAGTGAATATGAATGATAAATTAGCTAAAGAAATAGTAACATGGGCTTTTGAAGAGTTTAGATATAAAGTGAGCAATAGGGATATAGGGTCAAAGCCTTGGTTTCCCACATTTACCTACATACTTTGCCCTTCTTGACACAGCACTCTTTGTGGAGCATGATAATGAATTAAAGGTTAGGTATGTGCTATTGAGCTTAAAGTTTTGATATGATATGGCCAGGTTTAAGAGAATTTGATTAAAACACTTATATCTTGACTTTAGCTGAAGTCACAGACAGGCTAAATGTACGTATATGAGAGGCATAGCTGAGCTAATGTGTGTGACTTGAGACTTTTACTTGTAAACCAAAACAACCAATGTCTAATTTGCATTGTTGTTCATTGAGATACAGGGTTCTTGGCATTTCTCAAGC